GAATCTTTTCAATGATGAATTTTTTTTTAAAGGTGGTATGCTCTTACGTTCTAAACATCCCACAAGTCCCTATAGTAAACATTCCGCAGATACCTATGTTGGAGTCTTCCTGACCCTGAGGTAAAGCCTGTGTCTCAGCTGTCACCGTCTTACTCCTTAAGACCCCTTCCTCACTGGCAGGTTGTTGGTGAGTCCACATGAATGTTACGAGAGCTCCTTACGAGAGCTCTTGAAGCCTTTGTGCCGCATACCACTCCATGAGAGCGGGCCCTTTGCGGAGACTTGACAACCTGGTACCAAGTCCTCCCACGATCACCCTCCCATTTCACCAGCTTATCTCAAGTGTCAGAGAAGAATGAAGCTTTACTCATGCACATTCCAACTCCAGCAGCTGGAGGGGAAGCCTTCACCAGAGCCAGCTGGCATCGGAAAGGCCAGGCTGATGATGCATTGGCTGAGCAGTCACCTGGCCAACCCCTGTCACCCTACTCCAGGCTGCCAGAGATGTGAACACGGCCACACAAGACTCCCTTGGAAGATCTCTGGGGCAATCTTTATCTGGGGTATATATTTTGACAGTCTCGGGAATGGGGCAGAACAGCACAGGTCAAAAGTTCTCACCAGTGCTTAGCATTCAGGAAGTGAGTGACTTAGCAGTTCATGCAGGTCAGGCTCCCACTCCTACACCAGGGCAGGAGAGACCCACGACTGTGCAGAAATGGTCTGGAAGGATTTACAAGAATGAGGTCAGCCTTTTCCTCACTAGCTAGAAACCCACAACTATGTGACGTCAGGCAAGCCATGATCCTCTCTGGGACGCAGTTTTCTGTCTCCAAAATGAACAGAGTGGGGGCAGGACGGGACAAATGGTCAAGATCTTTCTAAAAGCAAGGGTTTTTGACCCTGATTCTTACAAACACACACACACACAGAGAGAGAGAGAGAGAGAGAGAGAGAGAGAGAGAGAGAGAGAGAGAGAGAGAGAGAGAGAGAGGAGAAATGTAATTACTGATTGTTTGTTTCCCTGGGGGCCATGTATTTCTAACATTCTAACCATGTGATCTTCCAGGAGAAATCCCCTGCCCCAAAGCCCTGTTGGGAACCTGTGATTGCAAAATCCTTGATGATTTACATTTCTTTAAAGATATTTATTTTAGGTATGTGTATATGTGTGCCTAAGTGCATGTATGTGCTCCCTGTCCATGCTGGAACCCAAAAAAGTCAGAAGGAGCCTCTGAATCCCATGGAACTAGAGTTATAGTTTTGAGGCATCCTGTGGGTACCAGAAACCAAACCCAGGTATTCTGTGATGGTAAGTGCTCTTAGCCACTGAGCAAGTTCTCTAAACCCATGGTGATTTCAGTTTTCTATTCCTGCTTCAGTTCCCTCCCCAATCTCCACTGTCTCCTTAACCATCTCAACACTAGGGCTGACCGTGATCCTATCATGCCTTTCTCCATTCATTTGTCAAACATTTTCCCCAGGTGCTAGACTCTGCACCCTGGAGCTAGTGAGATGGGCAACGTGGCTAGTTCTTAGTCTTACAGATGGAGGGACTCCATCAGTCATCTCTGCCATGCTGCCAGCACCACCCGGGAAAGGACACCTAGGATGGACACTTAATGCATCTTAGAGCAAGGAAGGGAAAATCTTGATAAGAGCTATACTAGGCACACTTAGAACTCACCCATAGACAAAAACTGAAGGAGGGGCCGTCTGAAGACCTTTCCACCTGAGTATCCATCCCATGTGCAGTCACCAAAGGTAGATGCTGATGTGGAAGTCAGGAAGTGCATGCTGATAAGAGCCTGATATGGATGTCTCCTCAGAGGTCTTCAAGAGTCTGACATATTCAGAGGCAGATGCTCACAACTAGCCATTGAACTGATCATGGGGTTCTCAATAAAGGAGTTAGAGTGAAGACTGAAGGAGCTGAAAGGATTTGCGGCACCATGAGGAGAACAATAATACCAACCAACCACAGCTCCCAGGGTCTAAACCACCAGCCTGGGAGCACTTGGGGTGGGGGGATCCAGGGCTTCAACTGAATATGTAAGAGTGGAGGGCCCTGCTGGGCATAGGTGGAAGAAGAGAACCTTGACCTCATGAAGGCTGGATGCCCCAGGGGGTGGGAATTTTGAGGGTGGGGAGGTGGGAGTGGGGGGGAATAGATAGAAGTTACATCCACAGAGAAGAAGGAGGAGGGGTGAGGGGATTGGGGGTTCCGGGGTGGGTGGGGGATGGGGTAAGGAGACAACATAGGAAATGTAAATAAAACATCCAATAAAAAAAAAGAAAAGAAAAAAAGAACTCACCCATAGCCAGTGGGCCTCCTTAGAGTAACTCCTTCCATGTCAGAAGAAGCTGGGTATGTCTGAGAGCTGCAGCACTAAGAATCCTGGGGCCAGCAGAATACAGAAGCTGGGGGTGAACACCAAACTCCTCAACACTTGATAGATACGATATGTTCCCCCAGAGTGTCTCCAGCACAACTAAGCCTTTCTTTTCACATCAGCGCCATCTTATTACTATCAGACTCTCTGAGCTTTCTCAGACTGTCCCCCAAATAAGTACTCCCTGCACTTAAGTCCTTAAAGGTCTCCTTCTGAGAGAAACATCATTAGAGAGGGGGTTGATTAAGACACTCAGTTGCTCAAAGGGGGAGACATTCCAGCAGGGGAATAGTTCAGGCATCATATCAGGGGAAGAACGTGGCAGATATTTTAAAAAACACATACTTCGTGGTCCCAGGACTTTGTCATAGGACTTTAGCATCCTCCTATGGTAAAACACTTATGTCATCTTTTCCTATCCTCCTGAAGTGCTAGAAGAGGAGAAAGGATTGCCACAGAGTTCTTCAGTGTCCCTGAGAAGTGCCCAAGAGCCATACAGTGGCACTTGCTCATTCCTATTTTGCCCAAGAAGTCAGCTCATAGACAAAAGGAAATTTTCTATATGTTTTAGTGTCTTAAGTAATATGGATTTATCTAAATCCATATTACTGAATGGTTATCTCTCAAGGAAATACACTGAATCCACTGAGAGCAGCTGAACATGTTTTGGTTCAGAATACGCAGATGGCTCGCCCATCTGCTCCAGAGCCCAGTCAACCTGGGGGACTTCAGTTTCCTTATCATGGGACAGTAGGCAGCACCTTGAGAAGATTCAGTGAGAGAATGTGTATGAACCTGGGATCCAGCAGCGCAAGTACTTTAATTGTAAATTGGGGGATGGTGATGAACATCAGAAAGTACTATACAAAGGCAACCCAATGGATAAAAAAGGAATCCTAAAGGAACCCATACAGGGACTGACATCAATTTCCCCTGCATAGGGGCCCAATTGGATAGCACCAGGAATCTATCTGTTGAAACAATAGAGCAACTCAGAGGACTCTGCTTAGACAGCATATCAGTCTAGATGGGCCAGCTCTGGCCAGCACCGACACAGCAGGCAGCAAGAAACACAACAGGAAGCTGGTTAAGAGGGTGTGAGCTCCAGGAGAGTACAAGGTGATGATCTCAGGGCCAGGGGCTCTCCCTACCCCTCCCTACTAGTACACAGAAGAGTGTCCCCAACATGGTTTCTCAAGTCCTATTTTATAGACCTTCCTCCTTGTGGTCTATCTGAACAGGGTACTTACATTTCAATGGGTTCTGGTCTTTTTTATCTGGTGTCTCCAACTGAAACCAGCTGGTTTCAAAGGAGGCAATGGCTTGACCAGGGTGGACAGAGCATATTTAATATTGAGAGAAGTCTGAGGCTTTGATTCTTGTGTATGCAACTCTGCCCAAAGCATTAAGGATTTTATGACTGGGCCGCAGGAGCCAACCTCCATTTCCTTCCCTTTCCCATCTTTCTCTTGACTTCTACAACTCCCTCCCACTCATCTCTCCCTCCCTGATCAACCAGTAGTGTCATGTTTCTACCACCAGGGCCAAGACCCAGACCTCCTGGCCTCTTCCCTAGCAGGGAGCACTGAGCAGGCTTCCCTTAACCTGGCTCAGGCAAAGAAGGAATGCTTCAGAACAAGGCCTCAGCTGGCCTAGACTGAAACATTTATCTTTGAGACATTGCATGAAGACTTCAAAGGAAACCGCCAGGGACTAGCAGTCTCATCAGACCAGTTTGCAAGGTTCCTGGGACTTCTCAGAGATGCCCAGATAAGTGCTGACAGGGAGGAAAACAGGAGGCTCTGGTCCCAGGGTTTATATACAAAGAAGTAGAGATAATAGCCCAGCTTGCTCTGTCTTCCTGGCGGGCCTGGGAGGAGCAGGGAGGGGCCCAGGAACTCCATGGGAGAATAGCATTGTCTGCTCCAAGCAGGTGCTGCTCACAAAGCTGTGTCACCATGTCCTCTAGTTTGACCTTCAGGTTTTGATAATTGGGACCCATCATCTCAGCCTCGGGACAGGAATTCCTTTCTGCATTTCTGGTCTCTATTTATTCTCACCTCGCTTCGGAAGCAAACACCAGATTGTCACTGAACTGGGTCTCAGAGCAATCTCTCTTCTTGGGGACTCTTACACGTGTTTTGAGTTAGGTCCAGCCTGAAGACTCCTCTGCAGGTCTGTGGTCGCAAGCTCTGCAAGTCTCTCTGGGAAACCGTCCCACCCTCGGGAAAGACAAGCTCTTTCAAGTTTACCAGCCTCCATCCATCCCAGGATGATTGGAATCACCTAGAAGAGAGAATACGGTTCCTGGGAGGTGACCATGCTGCCTTACTGGGCACCAGCCCTTGCTGCTGGCTTCTTTTCTCAAGCTTGGGAAAAGTTTAGCAAGGAAAGAGGAGGATGGGGAAGAGTGGGGGTGGGGGTGGGGCTGGGGCTGGAGCTGGGGCTGGGGCTGGGAATGCCAGGTCTATAGAAAGAGAGGCCTGAGGGGAGGGGGAAGAAGAGGGATAGAAAACAACAAAAGTCTTGGTGGAGAAGGAGGAGCTTCAGGGCTGAAGTATCTCAAGCTCCTCCTGGATGGAGCTGGAGGAGGGGCAGCCAGGAACCAGGCTTTTTCCCTCTGACATTCAGAGCTGAGAAGTCTGTTTCCTGCATATTCAAAAGATTGAGGGCCTAAAGGGGTGCCACATCCCACTGGGACAGCTTCCAGGTAAGTATGGCACACCACACGATACATTAGCACTGGGCTCCAATTACCAGCAACCTTCTCAGTGCTTTAACTTCCCCTAGGAGCCTTATGGTGGCTCAGAGATCAGTCAGGGAGACAGGGCGGGAATCTGCAGTAACGTGGGCTATCAGGCAGTGACTTCATGTCCTGCTTAGAAGCCACTTTGCCAGCCCATAGCCACTAGATCTTCTCTCCTGACTGTTGGGGAAGCACAGCTAACAGGGCTGGGCAATCCCTCCTGCTAGGGCTGACACTCAGTGAGTGCTGGCTCACCCGGATCCTGAATCTTGCGGGTGTCTAGGGCTCTTATCTTCTTCTGAAGGCAGCCCTGAGCTTTCTCGTAAGAAAGAGACTCCGGAACTTATTTTATACAAACTAGAAAGTGGCAGGGCCCTTGTATGATGAAAAGTTAGCCAGGCGAGTGTTTCTAGGTTCAACTAAATCTTCCTTGAGTTCAAATTTTTAATCTTAGCAGAGGTTTAATCTGGAGGTGTTCACGATTAGGACGAAGCTGCTTAACCTGGGGTAGGGGAAATGGGGATTTACAGAGGAACAGAAAACAATCTCTCAAAAACTCATAGAAGGGGCACAGGGAAGCATGAGGGCGGGGATCCTGGAAGAGTCAGGTCAGGCATGGAAAAGACAAGGGGAGGCTCCTGTCAGAAAAGCAAGGGCAAGTAGGTGTGTGGTGGATCCTGCGCCAGGGATGAGGAAAAAACTGGCCTCCACCTGCTCACTGACAAGCACGAGGTCGGGGTGGGGTGGGGATGAGGGTGGGGGATGGGGATGCCTCTTCCGCTGACAGAGACATACACACCAAACACACACACACACACACACACACACAGAAACTTTGTGTGTCTTTCGTTCAGGGTTTTCTATGAAATCATGGGCCCTCGGTAGTTTTTCCCTAGAGACTTGACATGCGGTGGACGCTGATGCTGCCGCTGCTGCAGCTCCTGCTACAACTGTTGATGGTGCAGAGCCAGAGCCTGGAGGGGCTTTCCCAAGAGACTATCCCACTCCTCCGACTCACTCAACAGGGAGTCTGGGACAGCCACGACCGCCGCGCCACCGACTCTCCCTGCGAGGGGCTCCCCGTCGCGGGAGCCACCGCCCTGAACCTGGCGAACCGCAGCCTGGAGCGCCTGCCCAGCTGCCTGCCGCGCACACTGCGCAGCCTCGACGGCAGCCACAACCTGCTGCGCGCCCTTAGCGAGCCTGTGCTCGCCCGCCTGCCCGAGCTGCGTGTGCTCACGCTGCACCACAACCGCATCTCCGTGCTGCACTGGGGGCGCGGCACACTAGCCGGGCTGCGTGAGCTCGACCTCAGCTACAACCTGCTGGCCGAGCTGCCGCTCTGCGCCGAGCCCTCGGGGAGCAGCCTGCGCTCGCTGGCCTTGACCGGGAACCCACTGCAGGCGCTGCAGCCACGGACCTTCGCATGCTTCCCAGCTCTGCAGCTTCTCAACCTCTCCTGCAGTGAGCTGGGTCACATTGCCCAGGAGGCATTCGCTGGGGTGGACGGTGGGCCCCTGGCGGCGCTGGAGCTCTTGGACCTGAGTGGCACGAGCCTGGAAAGAGGTGAGTGGGGTGTGAGGGCTACACATGTGCCTCTGGGGAGGCTCTAGGTTAGGGCTGCGTACTTCCAGAAGTGGCCCCAGAAACCAGCCGCGTGTGCCCAAAGTGCCCTGCAATCACAGAACTGCTGACACTCTCCAGATTACATATGAGGAAACTAAGGCACAGGATAGTGGCGTGACTTTACCAAAGTCTCACAGGTCTAGCGCCTAATGTCCCCAGATCCAAGCCCAAGCATTCCATAGGCAGAACTCAACATCTTAGCCACTGCATCCCGGCTAGATGAACGCTATGGAATGGCGAGGTGAAGTTATCACTGTGGCCCATGACAGACGAACTTACTCTCAAACTTGCTGACAAGGAATTCATTGATTCCGCCGCCCCTCCCCCGCCCACCATCGTTTCTATGGATGTTGAATCCTTTCAACAGAATGTAGGAGGGAGGTGCCTTTGATTCAAGAGCATGATTTTATTGTTCTTTAAAGATACTTCGTGTGTCTGTAACTACTGTTCATCACAACCGTGTGAAGAAGGGTGGCAGGGGCCTAGAGAGAACGAGAAATTCAGAAAGGGGAATGTTCTCCATATATTGGGAGATTACAGAATTCCTGGCGCCTCCTCCAACCATGTGTCCTCTTGTCCTTTCTTCCATTCCTCGAAGGCTCTCAGCTCTTGGGAGGCATTGGAGCTAAGTCTGGCTATTTTGTATGTGGAGTTTAACCAGAAGCTGTGACAGCAGCAGGCTTAGAGATAATGTCCTGGGTACAGACTCACACCTGTTGTGGCTGTGCGTTGTCCATTGCTTCTCTGTGATCTTAACCAACTTGTGCTGTAAGAAGGGTTAGTTATAGCAGAGAAAGAGCCTTCCCAGCTGCTGTATCAGTGACCTCACCCTGTTACTAATTTCTTTATTGCTGGTTCTGGTCCCCTGGGGTTTTGTTCCTTATTGTAATGGATAATTCCCTTTGACTTCAGTTGAGTCTGGGTGGATCAGAAACCTGCCAAAGCTCAAAGCCCTCTACCTGAGAAAGATGCCCAGGCTGACAACGCTGGAGGGAGACATTTTCAAGATGACTCCCAACCTGCAGCAGCTGGATTGTCAGGGATCCCCAGCACTTCGGTCTGTCTACACAGAGATCTTTCAGGACACACCCAATCTACAAGCTCTTCAGTTCCAGAAGTAAGTGATGCTAAGCCCGGCTTTTATCACAAGTCTGGTATTGCCTATTAAACTACATTGAAATTTTCTGACACACCAGTCCTTACAGTTTCTACTCCTGCTCTTCCAAATCCTCTTGGGCTCCTGTTCTCCTTCACTTTCCTCATGGTGTCTGACAAAGGTCCCAGACGGTCTCCACAGCCTAGTAATTAGCAATGAGGAGCCTCCTCTCCACTGAAACCCCCTCTTTTTCCCAGATGATGTCTTTTCAGCCCCACCCAGGGTTTGAGTAGGGTTGAGAGGGAAGGAGAGGGGTTAGGAAGGTTTACCATGCAGTGGAATCTGGACCTGGTCCTTTTATTCTAGTAGTAGGAACTGGCTTGACTTCTCAGAGACACTGAGCATGACCCCAGGCCACCTCCTGTTAGTGGGGTCTCCATCTGGGACTTGTCATTGGACATAGAAGCATCCTCTCTTCTCCCTTGTGTTTTGGTAGGGATGGGAATTAGAGGAGCTTCCAAACCACTGTCCAGCCTTGTCTTTCCTCTTTGCGTTTGCAGGTGGGTAAACCCCATCTCTCAGTCGTCCCTTGTCTTGAGCAGGTTGTAGAGCAACTCTCTTTGGGTCCTGGGACCTCAGCCATCCCCTTACTCAGTGCTCTCAGCCCTTATGGTTTCTGTTGCATCTAAGCCTAAAACAGCTCTGTTTGAAATATCCATCTATTTAACAATCTGTTCTGGGTCACTGACCTTTAGTAAAGATTAAAAGTAGTGGCACTGAACCTTAGTTCTGCTGTGAGGCTTTGTGTTCCCTGACCCACTTGGGCCTAGTACTTTTCAGGGGTTGAAGGCCTGCCCCCCAGAGTCAGTGAGACGGTCTCTCAGGCACTAAAGGACTTTCATATTGTGGATAAGGGTGGTGTCATGGCTAGCAATCCCAGAGAAGCCTAGGAGTGGGTCTTCTTAGCTCTCCTTTGCTCAATGTGGGTGCCAAGGATGGAACTATGTTTCTGTTTCCTTAAGAGTGAACAATTGTCCTTCATCCAGGAACCAGCTACTGAGCACAGGTGGGGAGAGAGAAAACACTTTGTGGCTCTGACTCCTTTGAGCTTGATAAGAATACAAAGATTCAAAAGAAAAGGAATTAAGCATTGGAAAACGATACAAAGTGAAACAGAAGTGTAACCATGGTGCCCTCTCTGGGGCTTTTCACCTAGGAAAAGCAAATGGAGCCCTTGAGTCAGTTTCTGGAGTGTAGTGGGTGTCTATAGAGTTGGTGAAGGTGGGACTAGAGCAGAGGCTTAGAAAGGGGCAAGCACGAGGACCCGAGTTCCAATCTCTGGCACTCCAGGCACCAGCATAGCGGATGCAGAGACAGGTAGATCCCTGGAATTTGCTAACTGGCCAGCAGCGGCAAAATGGCAAGCTTCAGGTTCAGAGTTGAGACCTCGCTTCAAAAAATAAGGAGGAAGGTGATTGAGGAGAACATCCTGATGTCAGTCTCTGACCTCCACAGGCACATGCATGGATATACATTCCCACATGCACATCAACATACCTACCCTCCCCTAAACCCCTGACACACAAACACAAATGATAATAATACTAACTGGTGGAGGTGATGATGATGGTGGCGGAGGTGATGATGATGGTGGTGATGATGGTGATGATGGTGATGATGGTGGTGGTGATGATGGTGATGATGGTGGTGGTGATGATGGTGATGATGGTGGTGGTGATGATGGTGGTAGTGATGATGGTGGTAGTGAAGCTGCTGCTGCTAAAAGTGGTGGTTATGACAGTAATGACAATATGGTTCCTACTTTCAAGAAGTTTAGTATAAAAAGCAGATGTCTGCCAACTAGCATAAGCCATCAGAACCCCCAGAAGAGGCCCCCTCCCTGTGCTGTGTTATAAAGCGGGTTATGGTAACGCCCCGTCAGGCTGATTAGAGAGATGTGTCAGAGCCATAGCTCTTTGCAGCCCATGTTGCCCATGATGAATTACAACTCAGTATAAAGGGTGGGGAATTAAAATCTAAGAGAGTCGAGGAGCAGCCGGGCAGTGGTGGCACACACCTTTAATCCCAGCACTTGGGAGGCAGAGGCAGGCGGATTTCTGAGTTCAAGGCCAGCCTAGTCTACAGAGTGAGTTCCAGGACAGCCAGAACTACTCAGAGAAACCCTGTCTCGAAAAACCAAAAAAAGAGAGAGAGAGAGAGAGAGAGAGAGAGAGAGAGAGAGAGAGAGAGAGAGAGAGAGAATGAGAATCAAGGAGCTCAGAGAATGTGAGGAGCCCAGGTCAAACATTCTGTTAGACCCCAGGGAAGGAGCAGGAGAGACAGCCAGGAATGGATCTGCCATTGCTAGGCGCGAGGAACTGTAAACATGCCTAGCAGAATTCTCCGCCATTTCTGTAGGCGTGGCCGCCTCATTTGTGATCGCTCATCCTCACCCATTAAAAGCTTGACACTTGAAGCTTGGTGACTTACTTGAGCCAATACTGAATTGACAAAATGAGACAAAGTAGAAAGCACTAAAAGTTGGAGTTTGTGTTTCTTAATCTTGGAGCTCCAACTGCCGTGTGTTTGTGGGGCAGTGGACTGTGCCTGGAAACTTGGTAAGGCTGAGTGTGTTCAGAAACCCTGGACTCTCAGACTTGAGGATGGTAGGTGTTTCACCCACTCCTGACCAGGTTCCTGTCACATGACCATGGAGAGGACCATGGCAATCAGTCACATAGGGGCAGCATCCCAAAGCCCCTCTACATGCAGAAGGCATCTCTAACATCCCAGAACAAGCCGATAGAGAGCATCTGGTTTTAGATCCCAAGCCTACCCCCAAAGCATACATAAGACCCCGTCCACAAGGAATAAAGGCAAGAGAATTGTTTCACCAAAGATCTTCTGGAGCATCTGTCATATAAGAGCTGTAGCACTCTAGGAAAGAGAATTCTCTCCTGAAGTTTCCCTGCTGGGAGCTGCTGGAATCTCAGCTCCCACCTCAGCTCCTAGCCAACTCTGCATATTGTTCTGAAGCACCAGACTGGCTCCAGAGCAATGGCAGCGGCCATGGAAGAGGCTTGGCAGCTCACCCAGACCCGACTACCACCTCCCTCCTTGTGCCACCCCCCACCTCTGATGCCCCTACCCCCACCCCCACCACCCCACCTCCCCACCCCCTGCTTAACATCCAGAGCCACAGGGGCCGCCTCAATCCAATTCCCCTCTCCCCTTCGGAAAGCTCAGCTCCTTGGTCACTCCAGCCAGGCCAGAGCCCCACAGATCTCTGCAGATAGCCTTGGGTACACAGACCAGCATGTGATAGTCTAGGCTGACCTCCCAGGTGGGGAGAGGTGCATGGAGAGAAGTCCACGCCCAGTTGAGGCTCTCTATAGGTGAGATTGTCTTAGTCAGGGTTTCTATTGCTGCAAGGAAACACATGACCAAAAGCAAGTTGGGGAGAAAAGGGTTTATTCAGCTTACAGTTCTACATTGCTATTCATCACCAAAGGAAGTCAGGACAGAAACTAAAGCAGGGAAGGAACCTGGAGGCAGGAGCTGATGCAGAGGCCATGGAGGGGTGCTGCTTACTGGCTTGCTCAGTCTGCTTCCTTATAGAACCCATGACGCAGGGATGGCACCGCCCACCATGGGGTGGGCTCGCCTTCCCCATTGATCACTGAGAAGATGCTTTACAGCTGGATCTCATGGAGGCATTTCCTCAACAGAGGCTCCTTCTCTCGGATGACTCTCTAGTTGGTGTCAAGTTGACGCACAAAACCAGCCAGTACAGTCTGTAGCCCTGCATCATCCGGCCCCCATGAGGCTGCCCAGACCACAGGAACTACCAAGCCACTCCAAGAATCATGAGAATGAAAAAGAGGGCATGTGTAAGCTTCTAAACTTAGGTGACATCCTCTATGTAACAAGGGCTAACTGCAACTTAGAAACTATATCCAGGGCGAGCCCCTTGCAGATGACTTTTAACTGTCAATTCTTTATTTGTTCCTTTTAAAATACATTTAAGGTCAGGTACAGTGGTGCATGATACCCAGCAGAGGCAGAGAGATCTTTGTGAATTCAACGTCAGCCTGGACTATTACATAGCAATTTCAGGCCAGCCAGGGGTACTTAGTAAGACACTGTCTACAGACAGACAGACAGACAAACAGACAGACAGACTTTGAGCTGTATATTTTAGAGCTTCAAATGGCAGCTCATATCAGTTAGTCAATGGAGATGGCCATTGTTTCAATCGTTATTGAAAAGCTCAAGGATGCTGGCGCCATCTGTGATGTCCTCCTTTGCTCTTCACGTTAAGTGTCAATGCTGTCTGTGAGGGCTAACAGTAAACAGGCTGGGCCCCTGACACCAGACAGGCCTGCAGAGCGCTTCTGTTGCAGAACCAGTGGGCAGAGTGGCTTTCTGCTGACTCTCAGCTTTCCTCACAGTTTCCTGTGAGTGAGCTACATTCAGAACGTGTTCAACTGTGTCTTCCTACGGCGCAAGGAGAAGCTTTGACTGGTGTAGTCCAACAGATACTCATGCCTAACTCACAAGAGGCAATAAGGGAGGATGAAGAGCAAGAGCTAACTGGTACACAACAACAGGGCATTGATGAGTGCTGGCATTGTGCCATCAACAATGGCCCAACTCTACTGCTTTCTCATTTCTGTCTGCATGACATTTGCTAATATCCTGCTGGCCTAAGTATGTCACCATGTTTCCAGGGTCTAGAAATGCATAGTAGCTTTTGATGTGGAGGGATGCCATCACACTGCAGAGATATGTGCTTCCAGAGGAAAGAGGACCTGTGGCCACTTTTACAAACTATCCACCATACCCAACAATAGCAGACACACTCCAGACTCTCTCCTCTTTCTTCCGTGGAGTCTAACAGAATCTTTGTCCTGACTCGATCTACTCCCTGGCTATTGTGGATTGCCCTGGTGCTGTTTGTATTTTGATGTTAATTCCACTTGCTCAAAAGGGGCTGTCCCTGACAAGGAATGGATCATGTACTCGAGTGATTTCATGTGAACCTTCTCTCCATTTTAACTGGTCAAATAAAGGCTCTCATGGCTTGTTCAGTGGTGTTTTCACTAAAACTTTTGGATTAAGGGTGTGTATAGCTCAGTAGCAGTATGCTTACCTAGTATGTGTGAGGCTCTAGGTTCAATCCCCAGCATCTACTGTCTACTTTTTGTGCAGATATTTGTACACACACATTCATCATCACAGACCCTTGAGAAGAGCACTTGGCATGAGGATATTTTCTCTATTCCATATAAAATAATAATGACAGAGTCTGGTTGGCAATATAGGAGGTCAAAGCTCATTTTGGGTTCTATTCAAAGTTATACCATTAATAGATTTTTTTTCTCCATAATACCACTATGTCTCGTAGAAACATTTTTTTTTCTTTTTGTAAGATCTAATTATTTGGGGGCTAGAGAGATTGCTCAGTGGTTAAGAGCTCTGGCTGCTCTTTCAGAGGTCCTAAGTTCAATTCCCAGCAACCTCATGGTGACTCATAACCATCTATAATTGGATCTAATGCCCTCTTCTATCATGCAGGCATATATGCAAATACAGCACTCATATACATAAAATACATAAATATTTTTTTTAAAGATTTAATTATTTGTTTTTATGTCTGTGCACCACAGAAGCCAGAAGATGTGAGATCCTCTGGAGCTAGCTGGAGTTACAGATGGTTGTGAGCCACCATGTGGGTGCTGAGACCTGAGCCCAGGTCCTCTAGAAAAGCAGCCAGTGCTCTTAACCACGAGGGTACCTAATGGGAACATTGTCAACCTAAAAGCATGACTTAACTGACTTGTGTGCGTGTGTATGTGTCATTTCAGCTGCAACTTGAGTTCCTTTGGTCCTTGGACTGTGACTTCCTCCCAGGTCTTGTTCATTAGCCTCTTTGGCAACCCTCTCATTTGCAGCTGTGAGCTGGCTTGGCTTCTCATGGACGCAAACAAAACTGTCTTACACAGGTAACACATTTACCAAGTAGCTGGCTGTGAGATGAGAATCAACCTTCCAGAGCTGGACCTGTCCCAGCTTGTGCTTTGTCCATCTGGCCAGACAAGCACTCACCCCAATGTAGTCACTCTGGGGGGATGGAGACTCTGCTTCTATTGCAGCTAGCCAGAAAGGGCAAAGAACATGGGAAAGTGGACTTAGAAGCTTTTAAAAGCAACAGGCTGCCAGAGGGTGCTCACCATTTCCACTCATTCATTGGCCAACAGTTTATGGGCAGGCCACACCTAACTGCAAAGGAGACTGGGAGATGTAGTCTGCATGCCCTGTGGGCAAAGCAAGAACAGTTGTACCAGTTTCTCATTTTACAGATAAGGGAATGGAGCCAAAACAAGTGAAGCACTTGCTACATCAACTCATGTAGCTGTTGGATGTTGGAGGCATCCACATCTGACCATCTACATCTGTGCTCTTAACCACTAGGCCCTTTGACCACCCAAGAGGCAGCCTAGCTCTTGGCCAATCAGCCTAAGGCCAGTATGCTTACAGAGCTTTCTCCTGGCAGGAAACAAATTCTAATGGTATCTTTTGGCTTAGAAGAGCTTTTCTAAAGTCCAGCTGTGGTATGGGGCTCCTCACTTCCATTCCCTACTTTGTTTCCAACGGCTATCACCAAATCCCTTGAGAGTCAGGGGCTCACCACGATGTTAAAAAAGATGTTAAGAGCACAGGCTAAAGTCAGAAAGTCTTGCTCCATTCCACTTCCAACTGTAGATATGGCTGTGCTCTGCCATTTGCTAGCTATGGCATCGCGGGCAGCTAGCACCTTCTTCCTATTTTCTTCTCTGCCCAGAAGGCATGACAGGACTTCTTCAAAAGTTTCCTGGACCAATTAAATGATGTTACTAGGAGATATCTGATAGAGATATGGTGGCAGAGGAGACACCCCACATTGAGGATTCAAAACCTTGAAATACATGTATCTACTAATGATTGGTTTCCCTTACAGGGCAGCAGAAACTATGTGTGAGCCTGCTCTAGGATCCACGGGCCCCTTCTCAGGCCCCCTGTCCCTCTCCCACCTGTCTAACGTGTGCAGGTCAGACCAAAGCACCACCCTCCAGGCTTCAAACCCACCCCGCTTCAATCACTCCATTTCTGCACCACGGACACAGAGGCCTTTCATTGGACAGAGTGTGGCTCTGTCTGCTCAGCCTGGAAAAAGTCAACAAAATATCACCAAAGTTCCCTCCCTCACCATGGTTTCACCCACCCGGATGTATATAGATACTTCAGAGGAAACTGCCCAGTACACTACTAACTCTGAGACAGTTGACAGTCCTTCCAGGGCTCTGCCTGGCCGTGCCAGTTCAGGGGCAGAGCAGACTGTCAAACATATCCTTGAGCCCAGTGTCTCATCTGCCTCTACCCCATTAGTCAGCAAATACCTTGAACCCTTGCCTACTTCACCGAACCCCAGGAGCATATCTCAGACCAACCAGAGGTCACAAGCCACCCCCAAGGCTCTTGACACAGATCTTCCACAGGACGAGATTCCAGTTGTGCTGTTAGATGATGATAGCGAGGAAGAGACTCAAGACCAGGTGGCAGCACCTCACCAGGATGTATCTTGTGATTACCACCCCTGTAAGCATCTGCAGACCCCATGCGCAGAGCTGCAGAGGCGCTTCAGATGCCGCTGCCCTGGTCTCAGTGGGGAGAACACCATTCCAGACCCTCCCACGCTGCAGGAGGTGTCAGAGATGACTGACACATCAGTGCTCATCCACTGGTGTGCCCCCAACTCGGTGGTGATCTGGTATCAGATCCACTACGTGGCAGAAGGAGGATCTGGGAACCAGTCAGTAGTGGACATCTATGCTACTGCCCGGCAGCACCCCCTGTATAAGCTATCACCAGGCACCACCTACCATGTGTGTGTACTGGCAGCCAACAGGGCTGGCCTGAGCCAGCCACAGACCTTGGGCTGGAGGAGGTCATGTGCCACCTTCACAACCAAACCCAGCTCTGTGGTCATCTTCTGGGGACTGTGTACTGCCAGTGGCCTGTTACTGGTTAGCACCCTGGTGCTGTCTGTGTGTCTCTGGAGGCAGCGCTGGAAGCCACACAGGGAGTTCTATGACACAAACCTGGTGGCCTTCAAAAACCCAGCCAGGGCTGAGGAACTAACTCAGTGGTAGCGACTTCCTAGCTTGTACAAGGCCTTGGGTTTACCCTCAGCTTCCAAATCAGACACATTTGAGGCCTTGAGTTTACTTCCAGCAACCAGACTAAACAAACCAGCCTTTGATCACCTGCTGAGGCTCCACAACTTCAATTATCCCAGCATCTCCCATTCAAAACACATCTGCATACAGAAATGTTCTGATGCCTAAAGACAGCATGAGGTCCAAATTCTCTAAAGCCACCACATCTCAGGCTCACACAGAACTATACTGTGTCCTCCTCTGTTGAAGGAATGAGTGTCACCCTTCCTCCTATAGTTCTCACTAACCTGATGTCAGTCTTACTGGCTCCTGTCATTCTGTGACATCCCTCAGGTTTGTCAGCACTCAATATATCCCCACTATATCCCTCAGTACCAAGTGGGATACTGCACGGAAAGAGGTGGGTTAACAAAGAAAGCAGTTGTAACAAGGAACACAGCTTCTTTGGAAAATACCATCTCTAAGTTTCTTGCATGGACATTCCCTTGTGGCCTGATTTTAGCACAATGAGTTCTGTTGGCCTTGAGCTGATGGCCAAGGGAAGAGCTGTTGTGGGTTGTCTAAGGCCTTCTGGATTCTTACTTGTATTTCAGGGTGTGTCAAACCATGTGTTTCCAGCTTTACAGTTAATATTGGTCTTCTGGTAACATTTGTGAGCCACAGGGAAAGGCTTCCAGGGCTTTCTGCATTTCACCCAAGACACAATAGACAAAAATAATATGACCTTCGTTGCTTAGACAGGCCTTACTTCACAGCCCACGCTAGCTTCAAACTTGGATCCTTCTGCCTCTGTCTTTCCAAATGATAGGATTATAGACATTCGGAGAGGAGGCAAAACTGAACTCACAGCAGTGCTTATTTCTATCATAAGGAAAAGTTGTTTGAATGCACCTCTCATCTTCAGAACAGGCAGTAGCACAAACACAGACAGCAAACATATCAAAGCTGGATATGAATCACACTATACATTTCTAAGTGGGTAAGTATCCAGGCATGCTTTCAACATTCTAAACTGTATCCTTAGTCTCATCAAATATATGCCCAAGAGAATTTGAAAGACCCCTCTAGATACCACTTAAGTTACAAAAGTGGTAGAGCAGGGGAGAGGGAGGGAGCGCCCTCCCAGAGGCAAAGGGGTGGGGGGAGAGAGCAGATGTGGGATGGGGGAGTTGTGGAAGGGTAACCGAGAAGGGGGATATCGTTTGAGATGTAAACGAATGGAATGATTAATAAAAATTTTTTAAAGTGAATTAGTATTAAGTCCTAAGACACATAATTAAATGGCTCAGTGTTTTTAGCCTACTCTCAAGAGTCTATTCTATCGAAACAATAAATTTGCCAATTTGTATACATAAATGTATACTCTAATATTCTCATTTAAATACAATTCTAGTATGTTTAATGGACAGAATGTATTTTGTAACAATTCAATACAGAAAATCCTGAGGGCATTTGGACTGTAAGAGTAGATATGGAAAAAGTGTGTCGACCAGAGCTAGATTGAAAACCCTTCATACCAAGAATACTATGGGTCAACAGTAACCACAATAAGCAAATACAATAAAAGCAGAGTAAACACGAAATTTCCTCTGTAAGCACTCTGCCATCATTTTATTTGCCATTTCTCAATCACCATCCTGGATGCTCCAGCAGTCCTTCCATCTCCAACCTTAGCAGCTCCCAGTTAGAAAATTGTTATGGGCGAGTTGAGGCAGAGGCAACGGCCAGCCTTGCCCCAGCCTTCTCTTTTGCCCCTGTGATTCAGTGGTAAGGTTTAGTATGCTCCAAGCCCAGGGTGGCTACATTACTTTTCTGCTGCTGTGACAAAACACCATGACCAAAGCAATTTATATAAGGAAAGGGTTATCTATTGTGGTTCCAGAGGGTAAAAAGCTGGCAGTAGGTAGGAACAGCAGTTGGAGCTAAAAGCTGACAGTTCAAATCTTGAATCACAAACAAAAGCAGAGAGGTTTTTGGCAAACTGGGAATGGCGTACGGCCTTGAAACCTCAGAGCCTGTTCCCAGTAACACACTTCTTTTTCATAAACCAAATATTCAAACACCCAAGATTGAGGACATTCTCATCCAAACCACCAGTGGCTAAGCTGGTGCTCTGGGATGAGAAGCCAGGGCCAGCAACAGAGTTGCACAATGCAAGAAAGCTTGAGTATAGTTCCATGTTGGGTAATGTTTTTGTGCAGTGTATTTGAATGCTGATTTCTGTACTGAGATCATCTGGGTGCAGTCCAGAGTTTGCTATCATCATCATTACGAAGCATTTTCTGACTCAGTATTTTCTAAGATACTGTTCTCCTTTACCTCTGACTGGTTCAAAAGCTGGTCAGCCTATAGCTGGGGAGGAGAGTTAAGGCTAGACTTCCAATCCCAGTGAGGGGTCTGGGTAGAGACTGAAGAGTGGCCAAGAGGGACTTGCCATGAGGATACCGACGGGGAGGAACAGTCAGGGTGAGACTAGGAAGGCAGGTAATGAGGCACGTGGCTGGGTAGTAGGCAGCATAGCAGGGTTAGAATAAATCAGAACCCTGTCGAGCTATAGTGCAAGAAGCTTATCAATAAATATACTAGGTCTCCTTGTCATTTCAAAGCAAGGGCAGGCGCTAAAAAGCCCTGAACCTTTACATCCATATTATACTTAGGTTAAGCTAAGGAGAAAGGCCTCTAGTATGTGGAGGAGACCCCAGCTCCTGACCCTACCTGTACCCTGCTACTCTAAACACAAGGTAGAGCAGGTCTTTAAGGTCAGATGGTCTGGAACCAGTAAGTTTTACAATGTAGGGAAAGGGCTGCATCTAAGTGCACTTCATTGATTGGGAAACTTATACAGTCTCATAAACACACATCACAGGACCACCCAAGTGGAAGCAAGGCACGGGGGTTTTTCCAGTTTTTATTTTTCATTATGTTAACAATAGAAGATTCCCCAAAGTTTAAAAAAAAACTTTGAAAAATAGAAAGTTTCATACTATTTACATGACACATGAGCACAGGTTCCAGTATCATACAAACATCCCACGAGAAACAGTAAGAAGGCATGATGTCATTCTCTGCCTTTTAGATGCAAAGCCTAATACACGTATTCTCCCTTTTGACTCCTGTGTTATCTGTTATCCTGATACATAAACTAATTGGTACCTGAGAGGCTGGAAGACTACTAGTGAACTTCAATGCCTTCTATTTTGTTTGTTTTTTATTTTCAAAATGTACTGCATTTTAAAGCTCTGTACACCTTTATACTACCCACAGCTAAGTTTATTCTCACTTTTCAAATGGTCAAGTATTAATCACATGAACTGTTAATGTGTTTATAGATTTAAAATTGAAGCATAAGAATGTATAGTCATGCTGTGTGTGGTATGTATCTAATCTCAGGAAATTCCCTCCTGTTTTTCTTTGTTTCCATGTTACCAACTATGTTTTTTTTTTTTAATTTCTTTTTTTTTTTTTAACATGAAATGCTTTTTTATAGCATGTTTTACAAGGGGAGGGGGTAAGAGGGGCCAGGTGGTGGAAAAGTACAAAATCTTCTTGGCCTGTGCCTTGAAACATGTCATGGTCTATACGGTACACTGCCTTGAATTATGTTCTACCTGCTGTTCTTCAGAAGATATGGTACACTGCTTGAGTTATGGTCTCCCTGCTATTCTTAAGATGATATGGTACACTGCTTTGAGTCTATCTGCAGTTGCTAAGCAGGATCTTGCAGTTGCCAAGCTTCAGAGGACATTGTGCTGGTGGGGAAAGGTAGGGGGTGAGGGTAAGGGCGAGGGTCCTGGCTTCTGGCATCTCCCCCTTCTCTGTTTAGTTAGAGAAGGCATCTTATGATCAATCCCAACTATGTGAATTTTGAATTTGGATGTCTAATTATGGGAGGTCTTAGACAAGTTCACAACCCCAAAACACTGATGTGAGACGAATCACATCGATGGTCGAAGGTTTTAGGCTGTCGACGATGGGCAACGTCAAGGGACTCCGATGTGGGTGAAAGGAGGGTGAGAGCCCTGTCTTAGGCCATGTAGGCTGCACCCACTCCCAGCACCACGCACTCCTTTTCGGCTGCATTGGGTGGGCCCATGGGAAGTGGACCTACAATAATCCCGTCATTGGGCTAACTCACAGCCATCCTAGTCTCTTGTAAATGTTCAAGTTACCAACCATTTGTCAGTTTGGGGTGTAATATTGTCATAAAGGAAGGCTCCCCAATGTTAGCGGCCATATCAAGGGCGGCCTTGGTTTAGGAAAAAGCCAATTTTTGTTGTGGTGATCGAGAGGCCAAGCTCTCTAGCGAGAGAAACGAGGGCAAAGCCAGGCATACCAGGAACCCTTCTGGAGGGCGTGGAAGTTTAGCGGTCGACCGTAGGGGGAGGCAGGGGAACTGGCAGCTGTGTCAGTTTCCTGCGGAGTCACTTCTGGATCCTCTTCAATTTTCGGCTGATGGTAATGAACTTCAACCGTCTTCTTGATGGCAGCATCAACCTGGTTCCGTGGATGACAGGTCGCGGGCGACGATCTCTGTCTTGCTCAATCTTGATGTCGTGCGCACATCCTCTCAATGAGGGTCCGTCCAGAGGGGTCCGTGCCTCGAGCCCCACGTCTGGGTGCCACTTGACCCGACCGGCAGGTCCTAGTTATTCGTGGGGGCGAGGAGGACTGCAACCTGCTATTCTTCAGAAGGTATGGTACACTGCTTGAGTTATGGTCTCCCTGCTATTCTTCAGATGATATGGTACACTGCTTTGAGTCTATCTGCAGTTGCCAAGCAGGATCTTGCAGTTGCCAAGCTTCAGGGAACCTTGTGCAGGTGGGAAAAGGTAGGGGGTGAGGGTAAGAGCGAGGATCCTGGCTTCTGGCCCATCTGGATTAGAACTTCTAATAGCAGGCATCACGGGTGATTCATTTTTACCTGGGATGCTGCGTGAGTTCAAGCTCCTGGGAGTCCCTGTTTCTCTCGGTTTTCTGGGGTTGGGTACGGAGCTGCCGCTTGTGACCTGCTCTATGCTCGGGCCCAAACCGGAAGTCCCCCCTATGTTTTTTAAAAACATAAAAAAATAAGAATAACTAGAATAATTCATTTCACAAATTAATCAAAAACCTAAGATTAAAAATTCTACATTATAGTTTTATTTGTATTTAAAAATACACTGGAAATTCTGTATAGGCCCATGATCGAGCTTATTTTTGATGTACATTTCTTCGGTTTTGAAGACATGGTTTGTCTGACAAGACCTTTCGCAAGCTGACCACCAAGATCGGGAAAGTCCTGTAGCTTTCGCTGGCGCTGCTGCCGATGACACAAGTTGCTTCCTTGCTGCTGGATCTGGGTGCCTCTCATTTGCCCTTTATCACCTGAACAGTTTTCCGACCATAGTGATAATAACTGTATGCTGACGCGGCTGTAGTGAATGCTGTACAACACCTTGAAAGGAGAGAAACAGGAGTCAGCTGTCAAATCCAAAAACACCAACAGCAGAACTCATGAAGCACACATGTAAAAATGAGCCAAGAAAAGAGGACTGTGTGATGAAACTGTCTAACTACAAAATTTAAATTCATAGCTTCCTTTAAGATTTCATTTAAACTGGTGATGTCAAATAAAAGCCATCTAGTTACCGAGGCCTAAGACCAGTAGTGCTAGTAACTGTCCTTTCCCACACACAACCCTAAGTGTTTTATGTTCTCATTTTTCTCCCACAAAAACATAGTCACAGAGACATGAATGGAGACAACTGTAAAAAAGACTATGTATATTGAGAGATATGGCTCAAACTAGACAGTTCCTACTTAAGACTGCTTGGTGTCTACCTAAAGTCATGCAATACCCTGAAGCAAAAACAAAAGATCAGGGCTGGAGAGATGGCTCAGCGGTTAAGAGCACTAACTGCTCTTCCAGAGGTCCTGTGTTCAACTCCCAGCAACCACATGGTAGTTCACAACCATCTGTAATGGGATCTGAAGCCCTCTACTGGTGTGTCTGAAGACAGCTACAGTATACTCATACATAAATAAATCTTTAAAAAAAATTTAAAAAACAAACAAAAACAAAAAAAACAAAAAAAACAGGAGATCAGTTTATATCTGGATGCAGTTTATTTGAGAGAAAAAGATCCTCCATTAATACCCCAAAATACAAAAAGGAAAAAAAATCCTTATTTTATGTAAGAAAATAAAGTTTAGACTGTATCATTTTAAATTCAACTTTGTTCAGGGATCTAAAGTGAGTTTCAAATATAATTAAATGTTTACCAAATATCGCTAAATGTCAACATGGCAGCCTATTTAGAAGACTTGAAAGTTTGAATTTGACATATTTCAAGATATTTACAACTGAAGAATCAGCACATTGAAACAAAATTCAAAGTGCTTGCACTGGGTGTCCTCCCATTGCACCCCTCTACTAGGCTGGGTCTTTAATACTACTGTCCAGTGTCTGCTTGGCATCCAGTTCACCTATCGCTATGGCTCAAATAACACTTCCTTCCTGTAGTTATCGCTCTTCTTACTTTCTCTTCCTCCAAAACTCTTAACACATTAGCAATCCTTCTTATCCCTCCCAGTTGTAACTTCTGTGCTCCATGCCTTACAGTAAGACCAAGACTGATAGGTGCACCCTGGTTAGTTGTGTTACAATTGGACTAAGAATGACCGTGTACGTTGGTTAGTTGTGTTAATCACTATCTATTGTAAAAAGCAGTGCATCAGTTAACATATGGGTATACAGACAGGAACTAAGGGAGGCAACTCATTACTATGTTCATTTAGCAGGCCTACGCCTTAGCCAGCCAACGGTTTGGGGGTCCTGTTAAAGGAACCTGGCTTTAGGTCCATTTTGTGGAGTAGGTTTTAAATACAATAAGGAAGTAGTTGGTTACTCCCATAATATTTATGCCACTACTGCAAACATGGGTAATCTTCCACTTGCTATTGTAGCCCTCAGGGTTTACAGCTGGGTAACTATTGCTTAGGAGAGACTATGGGATGCACAGTACAAATAGAAGAGTTCTAGCACACTCCCTACCTGCAAGGCTCAGGGATTAACATGCAAGAAGCAGAGGAAAATTATTACAGCCAAAGGTAGTGGGTATTTGCCACAGAACAGTATTTATTGGACATGACAAAGACACTGCACACATGAAATTATAGTAGCTGACTGTATGCATGCACAAACCAGCTAAAGACTCGGCATGGATACTGTAGAGACTCAAAGTTCAACCCCTTTCTGAGGAGCTATTGAAAACTGAGGGCTTCTGGGTGAGAGAAAACTTTCTTTAGGGCTATGGCTCCTGAGTGCCCATGCTCCAGTATACCTAGGCACTCAGTAGCATTGAGTGGACTCGGTGCAAAACAAAGTCAGGAAAAAGAGTGGGGAGGAGAACAGGAAGAGAGGGAAAGATGGTGGCCACCGCTTGTCTACCTCATGTTCATTACACACTTCAAGAACAAAGTCATTCCAGACTTATCACAACAAGCCACTGTACTGATATTCTCTGAATAATTCTAAGTTTACCATAGTAAATTAAGTAACTTTATAGTTTGAATGTAAATTTGAAGTAAACTTACCATAGTATCTGAAGATAAATGCTGTCAGCATAATTGAAAACTGGAGCTGCCAAAGAAGCTGCCACCAAAATTAACTGGACTGCTGTATTTACCTTAAAAATAAAGGCATTAGAAATCAACAGTGTCAAGCTGTTTTAAGCTTTTGAGGCAAAGGTATTCTCATCATGATATACTCTAGGCATTCTGGATATTGACTGGCATTATCCATATCAAAGTTGGCATTCCCGGGTGAGAGTACCAGATCAGAGTCACTAACTGACCCATCTGTCCACATAGGTACCCTTCATTTATAATGAGGGCAGGGACAACTATCAGAAAGTACCACCCCTTGAATTTCATAGCAATTCAATGATGCTATACAATTCGTTGCCCTTGTCCTTAGCTGTCCACATGCAGCTCTGTAAACATGAAACAATGAAGTGGCTTCTCCTTGGGTGAAAGGACACAGTAAGCACTAGAGTAAAACCTGGAACCCAGACTTCCAAGGCCACTTGACTTGCTGCCTGCGTACCCATTTATTGCTGTGAAATCTTCTAGGGAAATAAACACTGTTTACCCTCAACAGCACAAAACAGAACCAGAAAGAGTCAGAAGACATTCTATGAAACAACCTGAGCATGGGGCAGTTAAGGAAGGTGTAACACTCCCTGGTCCTGTTATTTATCGCATGACAGTGATCACACCTTGACCTTAAATAATGTGTTTTTCAGAACAAGTGTTTACTGGTGCATTTGTCCCAGCACTTCAAGTGACTTTCTATAGAGTGCTACATTCAAACTGCTGCACTTGACACAAAGCCACATGAAGACAAAAGCTCCCTCTTAGAGTGCTAATATTCTGTGCCAGGGAGCATAATACAAAAACAATGGTCCCTCTGTGTTAAAGATACCTAATCTGTTACATCTCTGCTATAAGAAATGGAATGGAAGGATAGCTTCAGTGAACTTATCAAGGTATTGATTCCTTTGCTGTGCAAAGGTTGATGTACATTTATGATCTTGAAAGACTTAGCAAAACACAATAGACAACTTAGACTGGTTATTAGTGAGAACAATTGTCTGTTCCCTTTTCATCTAACACTCTTTAAAAATAGAAGGGTTGGGGCTAGATATGCCTCAGCAGGGTAAAGAGACAGGAAATCCCTGCAGCTAAGGCAAGCTCAAGATTCAACTAGAAGACTCTGCCTCAACCAATAATTGTGGAAAGCGAGAGGAAGATTACACCAACATCAGTCTACACACACACACACACACACACACCATACTATACTACACATAGGTACCTGTAATTAAAATGAATAAATGAATGACAGGAAAAGCACAAGAAACTCTTCATAATTTTGCATCTCAACCAAAGAGTACTCACATCTCACTTCTCAACTGCCCTATGATCTCATTCAAGGTATAATTCTTTTTTTTTTTTTTTTTGGGGGGGGGGGTTTTGAGACAGTGTTTCTCTGTGTAGCCCTGATTGTCCTGGAACTCACTCTGTAGACCAGGCTGGCCTTGAACTCAGAAATCAGCCTGCCTCTGCCTCCCAAGTGCTGGGATTAAAGGCGTGCCCCATTACTGCGAGGCTCAAGGTATAATTCTTAAAACCATTAACAAAGATAAACTGGCCAGGCAGTGGTGGCGCACGCCTTTAATCCCAGCACTTGGGAGGCAGAGGCAGGCTGATTTCTGAGTTCAAGGCCAGCCTGGTCTACAGAGTGAGTTCCAGGACAGCCCGGGCTATAAAGAGAAACCCTGTCTTGAAAAACAAAACAACAACAACAAAAAAAAAAACAACAAACAAACAAAGATAAACTACACATACTAACAATCTAAAAAAATTAGAAGACAGATATGACCCATTTTCTAGTCCCTCTAATCAATGCATTTAAATTCATCTCATTCTCAAGTTGGTAAGACAGCTAGCTCATCAATCAATCAAGTGTAGCCAAACCTAACAACCTGAGTTCAATTCCCAGGACCCACAAGATGGAAGGAGAGAACTGACCTCCACAAGATGTCTCTGCCCTCCACCCGTGTACACGTACACACTTATAAACAAACTTTTAACAATGTTCTCATTCTTTTTTTTTAAAGGTTTTTATTTATTTTTTATATATGAGTACACTGTAGCTGTTTTCAGACACACCAGAAGAGGGCATCAGATCTTATTACAGATGGTTGTGAGCCACCATGTGGTTGCTGGGATTTGAACTCAGGACCTCTAGAAGTGTAGTCAGTGCTCTTAACCACTGAGCCATCTCTCCAGCCCTCAATGTTCTCATTCTAAGCTGCTCCTGACTTATATTCATTTCATTATAAGAAAAGTTCATAAAGGACTGACATCTTTTAAAGACTGCTATGAGCATCTTACCTTGCTGATGAATGTTGGTTTTAACCTAGCAGTGGCATAGCAAGGATTGAAGTACTTAGCTAGTGTTCGCTGGCAAAAGAAAAAAAAGTTGCAATTTATCATTCAGGTTTCTAACAAAAGTTACTAGTGCTTACCCTATGCCCAGCCCCAATGTATACATATCTTGCTTATTAAGTCAAATAAGCACGATTTACATACTTTGTTTTGTTATAATGAGACTACTAAAAATAAGATTCTTCAAAATATAAATTTGTCAAGTACTGCACAATTGTATTCAGTCACTCCCACAGTTTGCTTTACATAGTCACTAAAGAAACTTACGTTACTCTCTTTTACAGGTTAAAAAGCAAAATAAATAAAATATATCTCTATTTTTCCTGAGAACCAAAGGTAATGCTATACTTATGTGCTCAAATATTTACAGAGCCAATGAACAGTATGTAAACAAGCTATTCCATTCTTCTATGATTGATTTTAAAAAACACTTCTACACCATCCATAGTGAATAAGTGAAGCATTAGACAGCTTGGAGGCAGGAAACACTTCTAACAGTCTGCTGGCTGCCCTGGGCTTCATACACCATCAACTGGAGAGCTGGACTTAAAATAGAAACTAGGCTTTTGTTTGTTTGCTTTGTGATTAGGATCTCACTGTAGCCTTGTAGCCCTAGAGTAGCCTCAGTCTCATAGAGATCCACCTGCTTCTGCCTCTGGAATGCTGAGGTTAAAAGCATGTGTCAGCACACCCAGCTGACAAATCTAGCTTGTTTTGTTTTTATTTCGAGACAGGGTTTCTCTGTGTAGCCCTGGCTATCCTGGAACTCACTCTGTAGACCAGGCTGGCCTCGAACTCAGAAATCCGCCTGCCTCTGCCTCCCAAGTGCTGGGATTAAAGGCGTGCGCTACCACTGCCCAAATCTAGCTTTCAAAATGACTATTCATATGTTCAAATTGCAGGGTATGTTTTTTTCTAATTCCTGATAAATAAATTAAGAAATAACTGCCATAAATAACTCTCCGACGGTGAAACTGCATTCAACAACTAAGCTAGAAGTAATGCTAAAGGACTATGCTCCGACGCTTACCGGTGTTGGCAGAGTTCGGTATCTGACGTAAAACACAGCAGCGATCAACATTACATCTCTTGAAATTATCATGTAAGTGAGTGGGACTGAAAGTCAAATATAAAATAATTTTAATGAGTTTAAAAATTACTAATAGATACCATGACTGCAGTAAAGACTCATTCAGTCTATTCGATGTTTCCCTTAAGTGAGGTTTTGTAGTAAATATTTACTGATAATTGAGGCCCCTACAGTGAAGCCCTGATCTTTGTGTTCCTTCCAGCAATCAGAGTGAACTGCAGGCTCTGGTTCTGTGACTTAGCTACCTCTAGAATTCCAATCTGCTCACCATGCTTTCTCAATTAATTTTATACACAGTTATCTAGCATAACAAGGATACAAATTCTGTAATAAACAGTGTGACTGTGATAAGCAAAACAGCTTATTTAAAATCGAGGAAACAGTTTAAAGTTGAAAATATATTTTGGAAGAAAAATCATTTCTTTCAAGAAAAGGCCTAAGCTCACCACCATTGTTCCTCCTTGTTATTTAAGGTACGCACGACAGTGTTCTTACCTGGAATAAGATCTGCATAGGTCAAGCTAATATATAAGATGCTGATAAGAACTTTATCAGCAAGTGGATCAAGAGCACTTCCCAAAGCTGATTTTTGATTGGCCCAGTTTCGAGCAATAAATCCATCCAACTGAAAATAGAAGCGTTTTTAAAAATAAATGTCATAATTCAAGCAGAATAGATAATTTGAAACTTTAAGAGATACCAGACAAACAACTATACTTTCAGAAAATATCAGTAAAATCTCATTTCTTATCCCCAAACATTCTTCTCTTTCAGTTTTTAAAAAAACAATTAGTCTGAAATGAATTTCACATTTATACTACTGTTCTTTCTCCATCAAAGTGTCCTTCTGATTTCTCACTATTTTTATAACATACCCATGTGGGATGAACCCAAACACAGATGTAGAAATAAAGAACCCCAACAAAACTCAAAGAAAGCAGACTGACCGAGAGGGACTAGGAGCCTACTCTTTTGAGCCAAAGTGGACCCCTTTCAGGACTACTTTTTAACTGTGACATTCAGCTTCCACATCCTTGTTTTATTGTAGTATCTGACTCCTGTGGGTTCTTTATTTCAATGTAGTGTGTGTGTGTCTAAGCCATGTGTGTGTGGTGTCCAAAGAGGCCAAAGGAGACTGTCAGATCCTCTGGGCTGGAGGTACAGGCAGCTGGCAGCTGTCTGATGTGGGTACTGAAATTCAATCTCAGGTCGGCTGTCCTGGCAGAACCATCTCTCTTATCTAACTCATTGTAAGATTATTTCTCAACCTTAAAATTTATTGTGTTCAAAAGATTAGGCTGGAGTTCAGTGAAGAGTGCTGACTAGCTAGCTTCTGTGAGGCTCTGGGTTTGGGTTTAATGACCTGCACTCCTCCCCCCCCTTCTCTCTTTCTCTGACACACACAATTTTAGTATCACTATTAATTCAATGTTCTGATTATGCTTGTATTACCTATATTTGAGTGAAAAACTTAATCTTCTGTACCTACCCTAGTTAAAATGCTAATACTTAACTATCTTTTGTTGATTTGTTTTGTTTCTTTTTTTTTAAATAAATCTATTTATTTTATATGAGTACATTGTAGTTCTCTGCAGACACACCAGAAGAGGGCACCAGATCTCATTATAGGTGGTTGTGAGCCACCATAAGGTTGCTGGGAATTAACTCAGGACCTCTGGAAGAACAGTCCAGTGCTCTTAACCATTGAGCCATCTCTCCAGCCCTATTTTGTTTCTTAAGAGGGTTTTTCTGTGTAGTCCTGCCTGTCCTGGAATTCGTTCTATAGACAGTTTGACCTTGAACTCAGAGATCAATCTGCCTCTGCCTTCCAAGTGCTAGGATTAAAGGTGTGTTCCATTGCCTGGCTTTTTTCTCTTCTCTTTTTTCTTTCTTGCCTGCCTTCCTTCCTTTCTTTCTTTTTTTGAAAGAGGATCTCACTACTACATAGACCAGGCTGGCCTTTGAACTCATAGAAATTCTCCTGTTTCTGCCTCCCAAGAGCTGGGATTAAAAGCATCAACATCATGCCTGGCAAATTACTTTTTTTTAATTACTTATTTTGATTAAGAACAATATTTTAAAGCACAGATCACACTTGGTTGACAAGTTTTTTAACATAAAAACTGAATCTCCAGCTTAGTTTGAGAAAGGGCCAGACTTGGGTCATTGGGGCCACAAAAGAGCCAAAATCAGGTGCTACCTAGTTCCATGGCACAGACAGAAATGTCCTATTTAGCCCAGGCTCTGATGTATGGTACTCACTTTATTTAACTTTATTCTTCAACAAATGTTTGAAATTTCTATGAAAACAATAAAAACTAACTTGTTTACAATCAGGCATGATACCTTTAAAAGACAGTAAGTCCTCCTCATTGCAAGTATTCCAGTAAGTTCAAGGAGACAGCCGTACAGGAGTAGGTTAGAAACTGGCCTAGGCCTGGGATGATCCCTAGCCTATCACAGCAAAAGAAAATCCATCCGAAACAACACAAACAGAACAGCAGAGAGAACTAACTGGTTCAAGTCCTGGCTTTGCATTCCCTTCTTACACTGACCTTGAGCAAGGCAGGTACCTGGCCTTACTCCTGTTTAAAACAGGTAATACCCACCCTACACACGCCTTGGCTACCTTCAGCAAGAAATACATTAATACTTACTCAGTCTCCTAGCAAGTCACTAACACACAAAGGGCAGTCACCAACTACCCCAATCACAATCAGAACAGTCTATCAGCTTTCTTCTTCTTCCTCGCCCCCTTCCCCTAATCCTCTAGGCTTTTTTGTTTGTCTGTCTGTTTTGATTTTTGAGACAGGTTCTCTTACTTTGCAGCCCAGAGCCCACTATGCAGACTTCACTGGTCCAAAACTTGCAACTATCAGCCCACCTTTGGTGTTGGGATTACAGGCCTGCAGCACCATGCTCAGCTATTTTCTTAAGTGAATTAGACACACAATGTCTGCAGTGGGAGCTAAGGCCTTCGAGACCCGGCTTTCTGTAGCTTGTTCTTCACAGTCCACTTTTCGCCATCATCTCCTGTGTCCACTGTTCTCCTAACTCACATCGTCCCTTTGCAAACATGTACAACTCCTTCACTGCACCTCAGACCTCCTCAACACCACTGCCATGCACTTCAGGCCTGCACACAAATGGATAAACACTGCTCAAGAAAAGCACATAACCAACACACAACCTCACAACCTTATGACTGTACCTGTGGGCACTCAATTCCTGGCTACCCTACATCTACTGACAGCATCTATCTTTTCATGCTTAGCTATCAGGTCACCCATGACCTACGTCACTCCTACTAACTGCTCTCACTCTAGCCCATGGCCATGTCTATTCTCTCCTAGAAGAAAACAGTAAAAGACAGCCAGTCCTCCCCTGTGTTGCACCTAATGCCCGGCCCAGCTGTCCATCTTGTCTTCCCTACTTGAAGCCGATTCCTGTTGGTTTCCCACCCTCGTCCTTCCATCTTCTCTGCACCATCAGCCTTTCCCTCTTCCACAGGGTCTTTTTTGTTGTTGTTGTTTTAGTTTTTCTAGACAGGGTTTCTCTGTGTAGCACTGGCTGTCCTGGAACTCACTCTGTAGACCAGGCTGGCCTCGAACTCAGAAATCCACCTGCCTTTGCCTCCCAAGTGCTGGGATTAAAGGCGTGCGCAACCACTGCCCAGCTCCACAGGGTCTTTTATCACTCAGCTAATGCAAAATATTACACAGTAAACCTATCTCTAAAACAACCATTTCTTGGCCCTTTCTCTGTTCCCCTACAAAGCAAAATTTTCTTAAAAGCAGAGCCAGTCATTACCACCCCTCATTTGCTTATCAGCTTAGGCCAATCTTCCTCATGTTTCTAGAAAATTCTCCTGCAGATCACCCCTGTGCTATCAGGTGACCTCAGCACAACAGCTGGTTACCATCTCTGGGGCACCTCCTGCCCAAGCTCCCCTTCCCACTCTCTCCTAACACCCCGCCCCCTCAGGCTTCTGTTTCTTTCCTCCTGCCCACCTCTCCCTCTCCCTCACACCACTCTCCTCACTTAGATCCTGTCAGCTCCCCCTCTGAAGGCCTCCGCTCTACATTACTGGCTCAGCTAGAGCAGGCATTAGAAGCTGGGTGTTTTCCCCGAAACTGTTCTGTCTCGTGCCTCCCATCCCTGAAAGAGTTACTTCCATGTACCTTGGTGAACCTGTTTCACTCCTATCCATCTGTCCGGTATATCAACATATCAGCACTCAGCCTAATCCCCACACAGTCAGATCCTGCCATTCCCCTCTTTAAAGCTGGTGAGTGCAGAGAATCAAAGTCTCCACAGAAAAAGTATGCAGTGTGGTGCCAATTAACTCTGGTTTCCATACAGATCATGTCATACTTGTTAATGGGGCTCTTCCCTCATTCGATGAGGCCATTTCATGTGGCAGTTGATTCCCTACCCCACAAAACCCTCACAAATTAACAAATATAAACAGTGAACCCAATATCTGAAGACAAAAAACTTTACAACCAGTCTAAAATTCTAGGACAGTCTTCCAGCCCACACCAATAATGAGTGGTGAGTTCAGGCTTCAGTGGGAAAGTAGGCCCTGAAGAAGCGGGGAGAGACGGTGAGAAGGGAAAGCTGACATCTTTCAGGAAAGGACAGGTGCTCACGTGAAAGGCTGTACCTGGTGCACACTTAGAAACACCGTAAGACAATGTAGATGCTCACCTCTGTCCACCTTCAGAACCTTCAGTTAATTCTACACTGACCACTCATGCTACTGCTATAGGCAAGTACTGTCTCTATGAACCACAAAAGGAAGGGCAAACGGTTTTAAAGTGCTATACAACCTTTACTTTTGGAAAATGAATTTTCTAGTATCATTAAATAAACAAACAGAGGAAAAACGTTAAAAAAAAAAAAACAACAACCAACTAGGGTTGAAGACATATAAACCGTCCCCTACCCAGGAGCTCCCTGTATGAGAAGATACTGTCTCCATTTCCACATGATCACACTGCCCTGATCTCGTAAGTTTTTCCTCTGCCCTTCACCTCTCCCAATTGTGTCTGTAGGCTTGCAATTTTATAAATCACTTCAGATTGTTTGTGAAAAGGTAAATGATAATACAGCCATATATGATGGTGGTAGTCAGTCAGCAAAGGTAACAGAGCCTTTTATCATAAAATTATTTTCCCAATTCTACCTTGATGTCACACTCTCGAGCCCCTCTCCTTGTGCACATGCTGAGGAAGTAGAAGAAAGCATGTCCAGTCTCATCCCAAACCAAGGCCTTCGCTGCACAGCAGTCAGAGGTGAGCGGCTGCAGGCCAGCTCGCAGGGCACACCCTGGTTCCCTGAGACAGTAATGACCATCCACCAGGTGCACATCAGGCTACTTCTTGCACAGCACACAAGCGTTCCAGCCTGCTCGCTCTTTACTTGCTCTACAGCAAGCACTCAACCTTGAGCATTTCTACGGAAGTTTCTCTTTTGAAGAAGTTAACCATCAAGGGTAAAGATTACTTTCTCCTAGGGCTCTCTATGTTTACACGCTCCCTTAAATCTTATAAAAGCAGTTCCATATGGATGCTAAAGACAAGTCCTTACACAAAGTACTAGATCACGCTTATGCTAAGGACATCCTTCCAGAAAAAAGCTAAGGCTAAGCTACAACGGGAGTTACAAACAGCATGGGATTTGAAAGGGAGCAAAAAGCAAATATATTCATAACTTACCAAATCCGTTAGCCCGGCTAAAGCAAAAACACCTAGTGCAACATTAAAATCTTCTTCAAGAATCAGATAGCCCAACACCGGGGCCAGGCCAATTCTCGTCATTGACAACAAATTTGGGATTGTCCATGGATTTTCATACTGAAAAAGACAAACACAGCACAATTTGAATAAAATACTATAAATTCGTACTTTTAAATATATACTTTATTAACTGAAAGGTAAGAAGATAAACTTTAATACGACTTGTAAGCAAAGTATATACATAGAGAATTTTTTTTTTGGTTTTTGTTTGTTTGTTTTTTTTGTTTTTTGTTTTTTCGAGACAGGGTTTCTCTGTATAGCCCTGGCTGTCCTGGAACTCACTCTGTGGACCAGGCTGGCCTCGAACTCAGAAATCCACCTGCCTCTGCCTCCCAAGTGCTGGGATTAAAGGCATGCACCACCACTGCCCCAGAGAAATTTTTAATATAAAAGATGAACATGCCTTACTCACCATATAAACTAGCTTCTCATGACTTCATTAAAGCTAAAGATTTGAAAGATCTTCTAAGTAGCCAAATAGATTAGAATTTTGTCAGAAAAAAAAAAAAACAAATTATCAATTCTAGGTACTCTCTCTCATCAAAAGCTGCTAAATCCAAGACAGACATACATGGAAATGGAAGTTCTGCAAATCTCTCCAAAGAAGCTATGGAGATGTCCAGACACCTTCCTCTCCCTCAAGTAAAAACCTGAGAGCATTTACAGCTCCCACTTGGGATTTTTGATTCCTTGACACTTCATATGGAGCAAAGCTGTTAGACACTGGCACTACCGAAAGGGCTCCTGGCAACTGGGCTGAAAGACAACACTGCCAAAGAGAAAATTCACGAACGCACTCCAACTTTTAAACTCTCCAGTCTACCAAAGCTGAAACACCCTGTGCCATATGGCACAGAAACAACAGACAAGGTCTGTCCCTGGAACCTGAGCTGTTTTCTCCATTGGTCAAGATTCCACCCCCTTGAACGCTGTCTTCAAAGAATCATTTTAACATCCCTTTAAATCAGTAAATCAGTAACCAACTTGCCTAAACCTTAACCTTTTTAGGAAAAAAAAAAAGCAGGATGGTGAGCTTAGTGGGTGTGGGTTCTTGCTGCCCACTCTGACAACCTCAGTTCTCAGAACACACGTGGAGAGTGAAAAGACAATCCAGGGAAGAAGCCAAGATCATTATGTTTGTTCAGTAACAAGTATGTGTGCATGAACCAAAGGAAAAAAGTGGCAATACTCACTTCTCAAATTGTCTTTAAAACTCTCCTACCCACCTACCTCGTAAGAAAAGGCATTTTATAATGAGAACCCAATAGAAAGCGTATTGGTGTAGAGGGATAATACAGTGGTTGTTGGAGTCAGGTGGAGAATACTGTCACTGAAAATTATACAACTTCAAATTCGACAGGGACAATGGCCAAATCAGAAACAATACAACCCTCTACTCTGGAATTTTCTATTCAAGTAGGACTACGTTGTATAGTTGTATGAAAACATGCTCATTTATACCCAGGTTCAAAGATTAGAATGTTCCTGAAATTTAGAAAAAGTGTCAAGCTGGTGAGACAGCTCAGGGAATTTGCCCTGACCTTTGTATGTGTAAGAAAAAGAGTAAGGCTATTGACCACAGTGTGGGACAAAGTCAAATACCGACCCACTATTACAGCAACTCACAAAGGCTGGGGAGAGAGAAAGGGAGCTAGCTCAGGGCTGTGCTAGAAAGCAAAAACTGTCACACTGTGGTCGCACATGCCTTTAATTCGGGTGCTCAAGATGCAGAGGCAGGTGGATCTCAGTTAGAGGACAGCCTGATTACACACAGAAACCGTCTCAAAACTAAAACAAGCAAGCAAAAGCTAGGAATGAAGAGCTCCAAAGTTAGTCTAACTGCCGACAGAGCAAGACTAAATTGAAAGCTGCAAGCAGCCTCATCACTTCCCTTAGTAACAACACAACTACAGCAGGCTATTGGGCCAGTGAGTACGTCTGTGCCCTACAAAAAATGTTCACCAGCCCGGGGGCAGGCCTTTGATCTCAGCACTTCTTGTGAGTTCGAGGCCAGCCGATCAAGTTCCAGGACAGCCAGGGTTGTTACACAGAGAAGAGCTGTCTCGAAAAACAAACCTACAAAAAGTTCATTAATATCTAGTTACTACATTTGTAAAAGTCGACAAAGCTTAATCTCAAATTACCCAACCAGATAACCTGTGGCATACTCGGCCAACTGTGCTGGGAAGGGCTTCAGCCAGGTTGAGGGCAACTTCAAAGCATCCAGCGTTCAAGCTCCAAGAGTTTTAAAGCTATTCCTGAAGCTGTGACCCCTTGCCGGGGTGTGGCCACCTCAGCCCATGCTGTGTAACTGCTGAAAGCAGAGCAGCAGAGTGTCCTCTGAAGACCTAACAATTGAAGATGTAATAATTGCATGAGCTTGCTAACATGACATCAAAAGCTGGGCCACATTCATGCTCTGGTGTCACCTGCTTAGGAAGTTATCTTATCAGGTAAGGTGGACAAATCCTTCTGTTACGTCAAGAATAGTCTTAAGTTTTCTATAATACAAAGTAGAAAGATCTTTTCATTACAACCTAAGCCAAATAATTATCCTTCGTGCTACTATTTAAGTTTACAAAGGCCAAAGGATGATGTAAATCTGCACAAACGAATAGAAGGGTCGTTCTTAAGATTCCGCGGAACTTAACCTATATACACTGAAGATTCACTTCAAAACATTAAAAATAGATTTTTAACTAGACGAGCGACAGTTGTTTTTACCAATGCAACGTGCAGACACACCTCCCATTAGCGGGTGTGGACAGAAGGGGATTACAGAGGGTTCCAACTTGGCCAGAGACTGTACCCGGCTGGGGCCCCCTGAAGTTCACCGAGATCGAACGTCCTGGCTGCCCGTAACTTCCCAGAACACGGGGTGAGTGTCGCGACAGAGCCCGTCACCTGCGTCCGGGCGCTCCGCCGACCCTCGTACGTACCGAGCTGGCGGCGCTCGCCGGAACCCACCCGGCGCTGGGGGCCTGCGCGGCGGCACCTCCTCCGGCGGCGGACTCCGGGGCTGCCTTCCCCGCGCCGGAGCAATGGGTCCGCGGGCCGGCACCAGGCAGCCGCAAGGCGAACGCAGCCGGACGCAGCCGCCAGCGCTCGGCCAGGCAGCCCAGGCAGCAGGCCGCGGGCGGCAGCAGCGCCCTGTGGGAGCCGCCCCTGCCGAGCCGCGCCCCCGGAGGCCGGACGGCCACGCGAAGGGGCCCCCACGCGCCGCGCGCCACGCGCCAAGCCAGCATGGCCTTGTGGCCTCCACGGAATTCAAGAGTCGAGAACTCAGAAGCCTCTAGCACCGGCCGCCAGCTTCTCTATAGAAATCGAGCGGTGCCAAGGCCGTACGGATAGCGCCATACTAATTTCTACACTCTGGCACTTTCCGCTTATACAGGTGGCCTGAACCGCCAAGGGAGGCCGCTTTCACGACGTTTTCACGACACCCAGCAGCTCGGCTCAATGGCGCCCTCAGGCGGCAGCGGCAAGCACGTGCAGCTAAGGGCAGCGGGCTAGAAGATATGGCTAGAGGGCAGAGTAGCTTGTGCCTGCAGGCTAAGAAGAATGACAGGTAGGGAAGACCAAGAGTGTGTGCCACGTGGCCACAGGAAGCCGTTATCTCAGGCCATGCCTGATGCCAAGTGGCCAGCAGCTGTGCGTGGCTCTGTATTACCACGGGAGGAGATTTAAAGCATCAGTGTTGGCATCAAAGTAGTAAGTACTTGCTCTGCTTTTTGAGCACTAAATGCATATGAATAGGCCCTAAGCAGCAAAGGGATATGTCAATAATAGCAATCACTAATTGCTTACTTGGGAAAAGTGCTTACTGTATACATTATAGTGCCATTATTTATCTTCTTAACAACTCTAACATACTTTCTGTTTTTGCCTTTACTTTTACAGGTATAGAAACCTGTGTACAGAAGAAACTTGCTTATTCTAAGAAGTCCAAACTAGTAATAAATCAGTTCAAAAAATGCACCTGTTATTATAAATTACACATTACTGGTGCACTGTCTTCCTAACCTTACAAATGTTCCTACCACTGTCTTCCTAACCTTACAAATGTTCCTACCATTTGTTAAAGGATTGAACTTGAACCCAGGGCCTTCCCAGGTTGAGCTAAAACCAAACCAGTGTAAGAATACCATGCAGCAATGTATAGGTCTTGCAGTCTTTCCACTATTCTTCAGCCCAGTCTGCGATAGCATACAATCACCTGAAAGTTGTTCATAAAACCCAAATTACATTTGACGATTGTAGACTTAAGGAACATTCTTTTGTTTGTTTGTTTTGTTTTTTGTTTTTCAAGACAGAGTTTCTCTGTGTAGTCTTGGCTGTCCTGGAACTCACTCTGTAGACCAGGCTGGCCTTGAACTCAGAAATCCACCTGCCTCTGCCTCCCAAGTGCTGGGATTAAAGGCGTGTACCACTACTGCCCAGCTTTTTTCTTTTTTCTTTTAATTAAAAAAAAAAAGAAAGCAAGAGGAAAAAAGAGACAAAGAAAAAAAGAAAAGACAAACTTGGGCAGTGGTATAAAAGAAAAAGAAGAAAAAAGAAAAATTCAGGCAGTGGTGGTACACATCTTTAATTTCACCACATTGGAGGCAGAGGCAGGAGGGTTTCTGTGAGTTCAAGACCACTCTGGCCTCTATAATGAGATCCCGTTGCAAAAGAAAAAGAAGAGGAAAAAATCCAGGCAGTGATGGTACACACCTTTAATCCCAGCACTTGGGAGGCAGAGGCAGATAGATCTCTGTAAATTCCAGGACAGCCAAGGCTACATAGAGAAAACCATCTCAAAAACAAAACAAAGTGAGTTTCTGTTCAAAATTAGGGTTACATCCCTTTGCATAGTTTTAGCCTTTAGTACAGTGGTCTGAGAGGCCCATCTTTCTCTCACAAAAATCTACTGAGTTGATAGGACAAAGCGAACATCACCAACTGATGGGACGGATGGGCCAACTGATGGAGCTGCTTGCAGCTAAATCTGACCAACTGACTTTGATCACATTTATAGTAACAGGTACCATTTGCTTCCTTCAAGTCAGGCTTTAATATTTTTATGGTATTCTATGGCATATTATCCCACATTTCATTTTCATTTTGGATTTACTATCAGTTAAATATTCATTGTAAAATATTAGTATTTTGTTTTATTACTCAATGCACACTGCTTTCTGTATGTGTGTAGGTTTTGGAGGCAGAGGCTGATGTTGAATGATGTCACCTCATTTTTTGGAGATTGGCTTTATCTATGAAGTAGCTTCACCAGTTCAGGCTGGCCAATGAGTGAGCTTCAGGGAAAGCCTCTCTCCTACCCGCATCCAGCACTGGGTTACAAACACAGCATGGCTTTCTTAGAGGACCTGAGTCCAGGTCCTCAGACTTTACCAGCTGAGCCTTCTCCCCAACTCAGTTTTTGGGTATTTTGGTCTTTTAGTTTGTCATCTACCTGGTTTCCTAGAAGTTACTAATTTCCAATCAGTGGCTCTTAAATGCTTAAGTGTTTGTTGGCTATGTCTACAAAGAATGCTTTGGCTAGAGGTCCAGTTCCATTTGAAGACTCACAAAATATGGTGAATTTTGATTTCATTGGTCCTGCCTCCTTGAAGCAGACCACAGGAAACTCCCTAGCGTGTAACCCAGCTTTTCAAGCCCATGTTTCTGTATGTGCTTTCTTTTTTGAACTCGGCAACATGAGGAGCCTGATGAAGAGTGCTTCTTGCTGTGCTCTGGTGCAGGCGAGCCATCCCTTCACCTTCTGCAGAGACTCTTCCAGGTACAGGAATGGCATCTATGAGCCACAGAGGCAGGAACGCCCTAAGCACCATGGCACAGGCTAGTTTTATTTTATGAACTACTCCTGGAAGATTTTTCTTTTAATCATCAGCATTCATACAACTCTGTAAGCAATACTTTTCAGAAAAGACTTCTAATTAAGTCAATTAATTTCCACTACTTTCAAATGAGAAGCCAAGTCAGACCCACTGCCCATAACCATAAAGTTAAAAACAAATGAAGAGCCGGGCGGTGGTGGCGCACGCCTTTAATCCCAGCACTTGGGAGGCAGAGGCAGGCAGATTTCTGAGTTCGAGGCCAGCCTAGTCTACAAAGTGAGTTCCAGGACAGCCAAGACTACACAGAGAAACCCTGTCTTGAAAAAAACAAACAAAAACAAACAAACAAACAAACAAAACAAATGAAGAGCTTTTGTGACCTGAACAATTTATGAGATTCAAAGTTTAATGTTTTAAGAAAAATTTCACCTGAACACATACTAATTTGTTTATGTATTAGCTAAATGCCTGCTAGACATCTACAAAACTAAAAGACATACACAAAACTAAAGCCACTACTAAAAATATGACAAGTCAAAAGCATAAATAATACTTATGTTATCTAGAAAAATAATGGAAACAGTTTATTCTTATATTTCTGGATAAATTATGGATACACCTTTTTTCTGTTATGGGAATTGTGTCATTTTTCAGAACCTTTATTTTCAGTTTTGTAATGAAGATGATTCTGGACTATTTTAAACCACAGGCAGCCCTGATGTGGTAAAGTCTTTCACATAGTTTGAAGTTGGTAAATCTTTGGGCCCTTTTTCAAGAGATAACCCTGGTCATTCAGTGATCCAATGAAGTTTTCAAAATCAGCAACCTAAAAGTAAACATTGAGAGTCAGCGCATTCAGTACTATGCCAAACATGACTTCAGTCTCTCATCAGCAAGCTCCCAGGCAAACAAACAAACAAAAACTGTGTGCTTCGTATAGTACCCCATTAAATAAGGAATCCTTGCTCTTAACTGAAAGCCCAACTTAGACTAGCTTTTGAAATTGCATGATCTTACAGCTAAACTACTTGCCACGATTAAAGTGCAATTACACTGGTTTCCACTAGAACTCCAATGTAGGAGCAGAGCGATGATGCTGATTCACCAAATGAGAATTCAGAGCCATCACAATGAGTAGCCACAGGACACTCCAGAATACACAGAGCTATTCTGTGCTGCTAAAAAAGGCCCTCGTCTGAAACACCAAAACCTTTGAGAAGAGGTAACACAGAATCTTAAAACTAAAAAGCAATTTTGTTCTTGGGCATGGATATGCTTGCCTTTAGTCCTAACACGTAGGAGGCAGAGGCGCATAGGGGTAGAGGCAGGCAGAGAGGTAGAGAGGCAGAGAAAGAAAGGCAGAGAGGCAGAGGCAGAGAGAGAGAGAGACAGAAGCAGAGAGAGAGGCAGAGAGGCAAAAAGAGAGGCAGAGAGGCAGAGAGACAGAGGCAGACAGATCTCTGAGTTCAAGGCTGGCTTGGTCTTCAGAGCTTCAGGACAGCCAGGGCTGTAACACAGAGAAAATGGCTAGAAAAACAACAACAACAACAAAAAAACACAAGTGGTTTTGTTCTAGTAATAAGAACCTCAGTATTTAAGTCATCATACCTGAATGTTTAGTTCTTTAGCAATCTGACGAAGTTGATGAAATTGAAATATGTTGTTATAAGTTCTTTCAGCAATGCTGTTGAGAGCAGAAATAAATCTTTTTGCTGTTGACCTGTTACTCATTCCAGAGCCATGCTGGGATCGCTCAAAGTCCAAGTTTCCAAATTCGTCAGAGTAAGTTCCTAGCATGCTTAAAGATGGAGAAGAAAGGATTATCTCATGTGGCAGGGCTACAGAAATTTTTGGGCTGGGTTTCCAATTCATAATAGAAGTCTGGGACTGGTTGTGAGGCCTAGCCACTTTGAAATTCATTATGATATGATATAGACTGACATAAAAGTATTTTGGACACAATTACTGATTTTTTAAAAGAACAAAACCACAACCACAAACTTTTGCCAGGAGTAGCAGTAAATGCCTGTAACCCCAGTACTCAGGAGCCGAAGCATAAGAACTCCCTGAGTTTAAAGACAGCCTGAAACACACTAACAGGTACCAGGCCAGTTAGGGATATGGAGGAAGGCATCCTATCTCAAAACACCAAAACAAATTTGTAAGTATGAAATGTAAAAGTGTAGAGTTAAAAGTAGTATTATAAATACCAAAACCATCATTTCTCATTTATAAAACTAAACTTTGTGAACACACTATTAAAGGCTTTCCTAGGTATAGGCGTGTTATTATTTCCGACCACAGCATCTGCAAAGAAAAAATGTTTAACAGTCCGGGGGTGGGGTGCGGCTGGAGAAATGGCTAAACCATGGTTTAGATCACAGACTGCTCTTGCAGAGGACAGGGGTTTAAGAGCACCCACAACTCCATGGGAATTCATTCTCTATTCTGGTCTCTTGAGGGCACTGTGCACATGATGCACAGAGATATGTGCAGGCAAAACATCGATACCCATGAAGAAATCTTAAAAATAAACACTCTTGAAAAG